GGCAGTCGCCCCCGTGTGATTTCTTCCACCTCTTCTATCGGCCCCGTCTGGGCTGACCCCAGCTGTTTGCGGAGCGTCTGGTAGGCGGGATGTAGTTCTATGGCTCGGTTAAGAGTTCCATCAACACGTCGACGGTCTTCTCGGGCAGAAATATGATGAGACCGATCAACAGTTCAAGCGGACGCACATAATTGAGCTCCTGGAATGTTGCCTCAAGACTTTCTTCGCATTTAATGGCCAAGTGTATGAGCAAAAGAAGGGAACGCCGACGGGCTCGCCTCTGTCTGGACTAGTTGCTGAAGCGGTTTTGCAGATTCTCAAGCACCTAATATTCACCTATTACATGCTAAAGTTTTGGGCTAAATATGTCGACGACACATTTGTCATAATGAAAATAAATGCCGTACAGGCTTTCAAAGCACTGTTAAATTCAATTGTTCCTGACCTCTAGTTTACCACGGAGGAAGAAGCCAACAATCAGTTGCCCTTCATTGATGTAAAAGTTACAAGAATGGGAGACGGGAATATGGGGGCGACGGTTTACCATAAGGCAACTAACACTAGGCGCATCCTCCACTTCAAAAGCAACCACCCCGTCGGTCACAGACACAGTTGTGTCAGGACCATTTTCCAACGGGCCCAAACTCACTGTAGCAATGAATATGACAGGAAGAAGGAGGTGAAATAATTACAAGCCCTATTTGAAGCCAACATTTGCCCGGAGTCGTTCATACGCAGTTGTCTCAGGAAGTGCCACTCTGGGCAGCCGAACGAGGAGAAACCAAGATTCTGGCTCTCGATCCCCTACGTGGAAAATGTTTCAGAGACGGCGTCAAGAATCCTGAAACCTTTTGGTATTGGAGCGGCTTATAAATCGGCATCCACAATCAGAACTGCATTCAACTTACTGCATCTGATTTGGTGGATTCCATACGTTGCAGTAGGTTGGGCGGGTAAATCGACCCAAATGTGATAAGACTCGCGTCGTCCGGCGGGGGCTCGTAGCTCAAGTGTTTAGTGCGTTGGCTGTGCTAAAGCCTCTCCTCATTTTTTAAGTCTTGTGTTAGCCACGGGGGCCTGCTGTTCAGTTTTGATCCGTGAAATAGGTCAGTAATCTCTGTGAAGAACGTGCAGTAACTCAGTTTACAAGTCCCGATCATCGATTATGTCACCTGAAAAAGCAAACTCCCAGTTTGTGGTGTTTAATTTAGCTTTCATTTGGACAAGGTCAGGGCGCCAAATGTTCCCTCTAACTCTGGTGACTTGTTCAGGCAAAGAAAAGATGGAATAGTCCTACAAAAGTACGACGTGGTCACTTCGACCTAGGTGAGGTAGACACTGGATCATATCGATACTGACCAACAACTTTGGAAGGACCAGATGCAGGCAGTTTGACTGTAGCCCTTCGCGCACCCTCGTCCGAATCGAGACGTGCTAAGTGAGAAATAGCCTGAGCGTTAGGTCCAGAAAAGGCCGATCAAAAGTATGGTCTAGAACAGATGTATAAGCTAACATCCAGTCGATAACAGGTGCATTGCAGTCTTCCATGATAAAGACATCGTACCGAATAGAGAATCCCTTCAGGTTCGCCTCAATCAGATGAGCGTCAGCCACGGGATCATTTCTCGGCAGTCGGTAAACTGTCAGGACGCCGAGGCTTGGTGAGCCCGGTGCTATTACAGTTTGCAAAGTGCCTTAGAAGTACACGCAAATTTGTCTGCTCTGTCTGAAACTATGAGCCTATGTGTCACATACGTGAGTACGCCTCCTCACTGACGTCCTGGCCCGTCTCCTCTTAACAGCTTATATCCTGGTATAGTTAACTCACATTTGTTCAACAGCTGATTCAATCAAGTTGCTGTAAGTCATATTACATCCGGGTATAGATCAGATAGATGGATTTCTATCCCGTCCGCTTTCAGTAACATGCTCTGCACATTCGTATACAGGCATTTCAGCTTACGATTTATGGCGGTCGGAGCAGTGATATCGGTGTGTCTCGAACTTTCGCCTACCATGTTAGCTGCGCTGTCATCCGAACTGGGCTCGTCCAAAGAAAGAATGGTGAACGCTGTCTGATTTCATTATTGTAGATAATCGAATTGCGTTCTCCTTCACTGAATCTCTTCTTGAGCTATAGAGCTAGAAGAAGACGTTTGAGTGTCTCTCTGCTGGCAAGTGATCTGGTTGAAAAAAAAGTCGGCGTTGGTGCCTGCACAAATTTGAGAGGTTGGGAACGTGTTGGTGTTGGTAGATTGTTTGCTCGTCCTCCGAGTCGGAAGGCTTTCAGCACTTCAATTGCCTCAGTGGTTTCCAAGATATTATTCAGCGTTTAGTCTTCCGTAACCCGGTGCTCAGGAGAGTTGCCGTTTGATTAAGGGAGCCCCTGAGAAACGAGACAATGCTCTCTGGCGGTATCGTTCGTATTTTTGTTGATGTATCGCCCTCTGCGGGGGTCTGGTGCTCTAAGGATAGTAGACGGCGATAGCGGAACACATTTTATATCGCGGTTTTGATGCTCCACGCCTGTGGTGACTGACTTGGAAGAAGCCGTTGGCACGGACGGTAGTTAATGATGGTCTGCAGATTCGATAATTGCCTCACTACCCCTACCCATGTCGGGCCGATCCAATCCAAAAGTTTTCTGGACGTTGCTGTTTTGGTACTTTCAACATTAACCGTTTTGAACGGAGCTGTTGTCGAGTTTTCTGGTTCACGTACCGTGGGGATATCATTTAGAAACGGTTGTTCATTTTCATTGGATTTTAACACCAGATTTCTTCCAGTGGATACTTTTGTATAGTGAGGTATGCCTAGATAATATTGTAAATGACTCTTTATCTGTTCGATCTCTTTCTCGAGATGGTTGACCCTGAGAGCTAACACCACAAATCCTATTCGCGTGTGGTTCGCCTGTACAATGCTTATAATTTTGTGAGGGTGTCTGCAGACGCGGTGGAGTGGCCGAGTGGTCGGGGCCGCCAAACGATGATTTCTCAGGCAGATACATTTGAGTCATTAATGGTTGCGATCCTACTCTTTTATGGAATATTAGCACCTTTCTAATTATTGTAATTCCTATGATTTAAAAGGTGCTGAAACTACCCGTTTGTGTTACCAAATCATCATATTGCAACCCAGTGAAAAAAAGTGAAAGTGAGCTAATATTGAGTTTCTGTGCGTGTAAGGCTTCGAGTTCAGTATGTACTTCTGCATCTACTCACTTGCTCCTCATGCCTCCACTTCTGATCTCTCCTAGTTAAAATCTTTTCCTTACTGAGGCGGCGGATGCGGTAGGAACGAATATTACTGAGTAACCTCTGCCTCGTTTATACATCACCCAGCTATGCACTGCCTCTAAGTGTTCTCTAGTCTTTTCCTCTGGATACATTTTCCTCAAAATGAATGTGCTAGTTGAGTTTAGTCTCCCAGTTCTTCACTACTAGACTGCGGAAGGTAATTTCGATGCAAAAATCCTCTAATTGTTTTCCACTACGCCGATTTTATATGGTGCGATAATGTCGTGAGATCGAATGAAATGCGGAGCACTGTTTTGATCTTGGCTGCGTTGTTGTTGTTGCCAAAAGAGGTACACGCGCACAAATTTCGCACGCCGCTGCAATCCGCTCAGTTTGACGACGTCAAAGGTTATCAAAACACTAGGCCATCGGGGAAAAGCTACGTGCACGTACTGCGATCGATATCACGCTGCGTGTTGAGAGCGATCGATTTTATCTCGCCAGGTGTGCAGGCGTCTCATAGCCCAGGACCTAAAAACTCCGAGTGAGCTGCCGATAGGGGTCTGTCCGTCAGATACGCAGGGTTGGTGCATGCAACAGCGGGGCTTATTCAGGCAGATAGTATCGACTCGCACAATCATATCTTAAGCGTGAACGCAGGATATTGGCATAACAGACATTAATAGGCAAAAGTGTCAATTCCCGGCGAGAAATGCTTCACAAATATTGTATTAAGCTGTTCTGCTACAGTTCATGGTCTGGCTACAGCATATATACAGCATAGTCTTAAAGAGCTCTCTACTAAAGTGATGATAGAGTCCGGTATGGTCACACGGTAAGATCGTTCAGCTTATGTTTTCCATTGCTAAACACAAGTGGGTCTCCAACTATACTAATGCCACTGATAGTACTACCAATACTACTGTTACTACTACTACCATTTCTATAACTGCTACTATCTATACTACTGCCACTGCCACTATTACTGTTACTACCACTACTACTAGTTCTAATACTGCCAATGCTTCTACTTCCTATACGCTTACTACTTTAACCTTCTACCACTAACATCATCACTACTACTGCTACTTCTACTGTAAGTTCTACTAACGCTACCACTACTTTTTCTATTACCACTACTACCTATACTACTGTAAGCACTCATTTAACTTTTGCTACTCCTTATACTGCAATTACTGCTGCCACCACGTCTACTACTGCTAATGCTCCTAATACTTCTAATGCTGCTACAAATGTTCGCAATTCTACTACTACTACTAATGATACTACTACTACTACTACTACTACTACTACTACTACTACTACTACTACATCTACTGCCGCTAATACTACTATTACTACTGCTAGTGCAGGTTTTGTGGTCTAACGCCTCGGATTCTCACTCGGAGCCATCAACAGAGAGTCGTAGTTAAGTGATGAAGACACAAAGGTACAGCATTCAAGACACGCATTTATCCTCCGGCGCGGCTAAGCCGGAGAGGTTTAGGTCCTTTCACGACCGACCACCTAACGCGACAGACATTGCGTACTACGGATCATTGTATCACCATATCAAAGAAGAGGCTCCATCTGCAACCCCACAGGAGGCTACAAGGTAAGTGGAGCCCTTTGTTAACTGAATACCGCCCGGCTGACTTGCCTGCATGCGGTCCGAACCAAATCTGCATTCTGAGGTCTTAATTGTCCGATATGGTCAGACAGTAAAGTCGTTTAACTCATGTCTTCCATTGCTAAAAACAAATGGGTCGCCAATCGTACTACTACTACTACTACTACTACTACTACTACTACTACTACTACTACTACTACTACTACTACTACTACTACTACTACTACTACTACTACTACTACTACTACTACTACTACTACTACTACTACTACTACTACTACTACTACTACTACTACTACTTCTACTTCTACTACTACTACTACTACTACTACTACTACTACTACCATTAGTACTATTACTTCTACCACCACTACTTCTACTACTACTACTACTACTGCTACTACTACTACTACTACTACTACTACTTACTACTTCTATCATTAATCGTACTACTACTACTACTTCAGGCTTTCTGGTCTGGCGTCTCGGATTCTCCCTCGGAGCCATCATCATAGACAGTTGTTGATATGTGACGAAGACACAAAGGGTACAGCATTCAAAACACCCATTTGTCAACCGGCGTGGGTAAACCTGAGAGGTTCAGGTTCATTCACGATCAGACACCTAACATGTCCTACGGATCACTGCATCACCATCTCAAAGATGAGGTTCCGTCTGCAATTCCACAGGAGGCTACAAAGTAAGTGAACCCGCATGTTAACAGAATACCGCTTGGTCGACTTGCCTGCGGGCGGTCCAAACCAAATCTGCATTCTCAGGTCTTATTTGACGTTATTTCGTAGAGCACAGATTTCCTACACGTCACACTTTGCGGATACTCCCCGGGAGAACTATCAATGAGGTATTAGCTAGTTTAAGTCCTGTACAGGTGAAAGACTATCTTAGCTCAGCTAGCAGGTCAAGAAAGTGGCAAATGTATCTCGGTCATTTTTCAGTGGCAAGTCGACGTATGATTAACGACGAAATGTTTCAGCACAAGAAGGCAGGGAGTAGATGCAGAAGCACATACTAACACTAAAAACATTCAAGAAAAACCCGTTTACAACATTTGCACTGCGTAGCACCGGCCTCGGACAAATTAACTAGTTCACTAAGTCGTCCCATATGCTGGACATCGCAAACGTACCTCCGACAATTTAAAATAACAAATGTCAAGGCTGATTCATTTGCATGTAATTTATTTCTAATGTCAATGCAGCGGAGGACACTCCAAGTGAACATGAAACAAGAAGCAAGCGCAGAATTTTACATGCAGACGCTTGCAGCGCCGTCAATCCGGTCAAGTGTCTCCAATGGGCTATTAGGCGACCAGACCCAAGATGTCAAGTCATTTTCCAAGTCGGCTAAACCTCCTGGTGCCGTGAGAGTCTCCACCGTGTTAAACGGTTCCTCCTGATTGCCTACAAATTTTGCATAACTATAATGAAGTTTCACTGGAGGAAAAATGAAACACGAGAGAAAAGATATTTAAAAAGGGAGGTTAGGCAATATGCACAGAAAGGCGACCACTTCTGGCTGTAATGGTGCACAGCGCATGAAAATCCTCCAACGGCATGTCAAGTGATTTAATGCTCTCGTGCCTTGTAAAATTGGGTACGTGGATAAGGCAAACGAATGGCATGAGAGAGAGAGAGAGAGAGAGAGAGAGAGAGAAGGAAAGAAGGAATTCATTTAATTTGTGTGTTGCATTACCAAGAGCAAAGACAGCGTTCGCGGAGGTGAGAAGAGTGAAGTACCGGCGAGGCTGCTTCATGTTGGCCAGCTCTGTCCACTGGCTGAGGGGGCTCCCGGCGTCTGGCAGTGAGAACATTTCCACCACGTTTACAGTCCTTTCACCATCCCGTCCACCGGCAACTAAGACTGCTCCCCGAAAGGGCGTTGCTGCGAGGTCGGATCGTGCAGTTCTCATGGCGGCAGCTGGCTGCCAAAGGTCGGCGGTGCGCGCCGAAACTGCCTCCTCCCGCCAGTCTGCGCGCAGATTGCAGAAGAACACGTAAGCCAGCGCGGAGGAGCCATTGCCACCGCCAAAAACGAAATCCTGACTGTCGCCGGGCAGGCAGGCAGCAGCTGGGCCAGACTGCGCTAGTGGACAATTCCGGTCCGCTTTTGTACATTGGGTCTAGATCTGTGATGTTAGATCATTGTAAAAAAATGTGTGTGTAATGCAATTTGCTGATATGTGTGACAGAGCCAAACGTTTGAGTAAACAGCACTTGTGAAATGGAAGTTCACTCTGAAAGAGAAGATGTGTTTTAGTTAGCCATTTCATTTTAAGGTCGAACGATGCATTCAGCAGATAGGCGAACGCATTTAAATTTAACGAAAATATTTTAAATATAGGCATTACAGACTCACGACTAATATAAGCCTCTACTTTTGATCTCTCCTAGTTAAAATGTTTACCTTATTGAGACGGTCGATGCGGTAGGAAAGAATATTACTGCGTCACCTCTGCTTCATCTATGCATCTATGTCCACTGCTTCTAAATCTTCTCTATTCTTCTCCTCTAGATAAATTTTCTCCAAAATTAATGCGCTAGTTGAGATAAGTCTCTCAGCACTATCCTAAGGGACTACGGAAGATAATTTTGGTACAAAAATCCGCAAAAATTTTTCCACTACGCGTATTTTATATTTTACGGTAATTTCGTCAGATCGAATGAGATGCGGAGCACTGTTCTGATCTTGAGCGCCTTGTTATTGTTCGACGATGCACACACGCATCGATCTCGCACGCCGCTGAAATCCCCTCAGTTTGACAATATTCAAGCTTATCAAAATGCTAGGCCAACCGAGAAAAGCTGCGTGCACGTGCTGCGATCGATATCACGCTTCGTGTTGAGAGCGATCGATTTTATCTCGCCAGGCGTGCAGGCATCTCATGGTCCAGGGCCTACAGAATCCAAGTGAGCTGCCGATAGGGGTCTGTCCGTCAGACACACATGCGTGGTGCATACAACTGCGCGGCTTATTCAGGCAGATAGAATCGACTCACATGATTATATTCTAAGTGTGAATGCAGGATATTGTCATAATAGACAGTAACAGGTAATAGGGTCAATTGCAGGGACGAAATGCTTCACAAATATTGCATTAAGTTGTTCTGCTGTAGTCTGTGGTCTGGCTCAGCGCATATTCAGTATAGTCTTTAAGCGCTTTCCAATAAATTGATGATAGGTTCCGGTGTGGTCAGACAGTAAGGTCGTTTTACTCATGTCTTCATTGCTAAAAACAAATGGGTCTCCAATCCTACTAGTACTACTACTACTTCTATTACTACTACTACTACTACTACTACTACTACTACTACTACTACTACTACTACTACTACTACTACTACTACTACTATCACCACCACCATTAATACTACTACTTCTACCACTACTACTTCTACTACTACAGCTACTACTACCATTTATACTACTACTACTACTTACTACTTCTACTATTAATAGTACTACTACTACTACTGCAGGCTTTCTGGTTTGACGTCTCGGATTCTCCCTCGGAGCCATCAGCATAGACAGTTGTAGATATGTGACGAAGACACAAAGGGTACAGCATTCAAAACACCCATTTGTCAACCGGCGTGGGTAAACCTGAGAGGTTCAGGTTCATTCACGATCAGACACCTAACATGTCCTACGGATCACTGCATCACCATCTCAAAGATGAGGTTCCGTCTGCAATTCCACAGGAGGCTACAAAGTAAGTGAACCCGCATGTTAACAGAATACCACTTGGTCGACTTGCCTGCGGGCGGTCCAAACCAAATCTGCATTCTCAGGTCATATTATCGTTATTTCGTAGAGCACAGATTTTCTACACGTAACGCTTTGCGGATACTTCCCCGGTGGACTCTTAATGAGGTATTAGCTAGTTTAAGTCCTGTACAGGTGAAAGACTATCTCATCTCAAATAACAGGTCAAGAAAGTGGCAAATGTATCTCGGTCATTTTGCAGTGGCAAGTCCACTTATAATTAATAGTAAAGTGTTTTAGAACGAGGAAGCAGGGAGTAGATGCAGGAGCACATACTAACACTACAAACATTCGAGAAAAGCCCGTTTACACCATTTGCACTGGGAAGCACCTGCCTCGAAATAAGTAACCAGTATACGTAGACGTCTCACACGCTGGACACTACTCGCATCCTTCCGACGTTTAGAAAAAAAAATTTCAAGGCTGATTTATTTACATGCCATTTATTTTTAATGTCAATGCACTGGAAGGCACTCCAAGTTAACATGGAACAAAAAATAAGCGCAGAATTTTACATGCAGACGCCTGCAGCGCCGTCAATCCGGTAAAGTGTCTCCACTGGGCTTTTGGACGACCAGACCCAAGATGTCAAGTCATTGTCAAAGTCAGCTGAACCTCCTGGTGCCGTGAGAGTCTCTACCGTGTTACGCGGTTCGTCCAGGTTGCCTACAAATTTTGCATAATTATAGTGAAGTTTCACTTGAGGAAAAGAGAAACAAGAGAGAAAATATATTTTAAAAAAAGGAGGTTAGGCAGTATGAACAGCAAGGCGACCAATTCTGGCTGTAATGGTGCACCGCGCATGAAAAACCTCTAACGGCATGTCAGCTGACTTAACGCTCTTGTGCCTTGTAAAATTGGGTATGCGGATGAGACAAACGAATGGCATGAGAGAGAGAGAGAGAAGGAAAGAAAGAAAATTATTTTATTGTGTCTTGGCTTACCAAGAGCAAAGACGGCATTGGCGGAGGTGAGAAGAGTGAAGTACCGGCGAGGCTGCTTCATCTCGGCCAGCTCTGTCCACTGACCGAGGGGGCTCCCAGTGTTTGGCAGTGAGAACATCTCCACCATGTTGAGATTCCTTTTACCATCCCGTCCACCGGCGACCAGGATTGCTCCCCGAAAGGGCGTCGCTGCGAGCCCGCATCGTGCAGTTCTCATGGCGGCAGCTGGCTGCCAAAAGTCAGCGGTGCGCGCTGAAACTGCCTCCTCCCGCCAATTCGCCCGCAGATTGCAGAAGACCACGGAAGAAAGACGGGAGGAGCCAGTCAGGCCGCCAAACACGAAAATCCGACTGTCGCCGGGCAGGCAGGCAGCAGCTGGACCGGACCTCTTCTCCGGCAGATCGGGCAATTTATGCCATCTGTTCAGGCCAGGCGGGGTGGGAAGTGAGTAGAAGGAGAGAAGTATTTTTTTTGCAAAAACAGATGCGCCACAACCAGCGCCTTCTCACCTGTCCTGACTGACGTCATAGACTTCACAGGAGGCGAGGTATGTCCAACTGTCCCCTTCCTTGAAGGCTCCACCAAAAATGCCGATCAGCGTCTCCTCTCCGTCGACGGCGTGAACCTTCAAGACGGCGGCGGCGTGCTCCTGGCGTCGAACAGCGAGGGGCGCCCGTTTGCGCCAGCGTCCTTCTCTCACCAGAAACTCGTCAACATCGACTGACCCTGAGCCATTCAATCCTCCACCGACAACGAAAATGCTCTCTTTCGGAAGAAGAAATACAGAAAACGTCCGTCACTTACAAACAATCCCCAAGAGCCTGATTTATTTGCTTAATTTACTTCCTACAAAACACCAAATGCTGTCGCACACAGAGGCGCTTGACTTCAACAAGCAAAAACATCCAAAGAGACAAAATGCGCCCAAGAGGTGACGCAGAACTCTCCGACAACTCACCGCCCACGACGCTGTAAGTGGCGTGCCAGCGGCGCGTCTTCATGTCAGCAACCCGTTCTACCTTCTGCAGGTGCTGATCGGTGCGACGGACAGACCAACTGCCCTGCCCATCTTTGTCCTTTGCGAAGAGGAAGATCGTCGGGCGCAGACGAGGCCTTAAGTTGAAAGGGCGGGCCAGCTTGTCCTTGTCCGCAGCCCCAATCCACCGTTCAATCCGAGCCAGAAGCCGTCTTTTGTGAGCAAAAAATAACAGGACTGAAATGGCATATACTTACAGACATTAGTTATTTAAAAATTTTGGGTGAACAGAACACACTTACGCGCATTCGGGGCTTTCCCAGATTGTTGGATATTTCTCCATCAGGCGATCGCGGCATTCCACGTCGGTTAGGTGCCACTGCACTTCTTTCAACATCGCTGGCGCGTGTACTGTCAGCCTCTCATCGTCGGCCTGGCCACAGGCACCAGCACCCGTCCAGCGAGCAATCGCCGCAACAACCTCCTCCTCAGATCCCACGGGCAGGTGATCGCTTCGAAGCAGGCTGAGGACGGTTTCGGCCGGCAAACGAACAAAGAGTTCAGTTGGCACGAATTCCTCAAAATGCTCCTTCATCAGCCCAATGCACGTATCAGCCAGTAATTCGAGATTCATAGACTTGGCAAAGTCCCACGTGGCTGGCAAATTTTCTAAATTTACTCTTAGAGCAGGCAGTTAGAGAGAAATGGTCGGCAAATTGCGTACCTCTTAGTCATGAATGTCGCTCCCCAATTCACCAGGGCGGGGAGTTCCAACATTCTTGCAAGCGCAATCAGGCCCCTCACGTTGTTCTCTGTCATCTCCACCCGGCCAGTGTACACATACTGGACGAGCACATTTGCGAGACTATAAAAGTTGTAAGCAAAACCTAAAGAACCAACATGAGCGGCGCTGTCGGCCATCTTAAGACCGAATTCTCCTCCCCGGGGTGGCCACTGAGAGACGCTCGCAAAGAAGGAATGCGAGCTGCTAGCACTATTCGATGGACGTAAAGGACATCGCCGTTCTTGACCTAACACGCACAAATGTCCGCCGTAACTAAGGGAAGTTACCTCTATGGTCAAGTCTTTAATGTCTTGGGCAAGACGAATTTCGTTTAAGGCAGGACAGCTTTGAATCAGGGGATGTTGGTCTTCGAATAGTTCTGCTTCCTGGAGCGCCATTTAGATTTGTAACCAGAGCAGGAGAGAGAGCGAGAGACAGACGAAATGCCGTGAGTGCTACGAGCGCCGCCTTTTACGGTGGCCCCATACGTTGCACACGCACGCACACTCCGGCTCTGATTGGCCGATTGTGGCATACGGAGGATTTCATTGGGAGATAGTTGGCACAGGAAAGGGGGCGCCGCGACTTTTCATTGGTCAAGACGAAGGTGGCTGGAAGTCGCTGATGGCATACATTGCGTGCCAAATCGATTAACGTGTGCTCTGTCGACGAGAAAACCGTGCGCGCGGGAAACGGATTATAGGTAGTAGGTTTCGGTTCCATGTCTACTCATAATTTTAGTTGGTGAAGATCATATGTAAACCCAGATAAACAGTGAGGCTAGAGTTCACTTGACAGCCAGGGTTGGATTCGGTCAAATCTACCTAGTTGGCAAATGAACCTTCTTAACGTTTAGGGAAAAAACCGAAATATTTTAGGGACATAACGCATCAGTTATACGGCGTTCCGTAGATAATAACAAATTTATGCTCCTGTGGCGATATACTTACTACAGTCCCGACCAGTCAACCTTGGCCCACAGATTAAATACCGACTTCCACAGCACAAATTTAGTCAGAAATACGAGCGAAAAACGCATGCAGACAGGACAGTGCCCAATTCGCAACCTTGGCCCAAGTCTGAGGAAATATCGAATACACAAAACGGGTCATTACAGACCATTACTTGTAGAATATTCGCGTGAAAGCACGCAGTCCCAGGGATTTGAGACTGAAGATTGTGAGCGCTGCCAGGAGAAAAAGCAAACAGCATTATATCCTGCGGATTCATTTATTTTACGAACGCTAGTATTTGATCTCTTCACAGCTCTGTACTGCACCAGTTGCATCTTCGTCTCCTTCTTCTTCTTCCCCTACTTTCTCTCTTCGTCCTCATCTTCCTTCTTCTTCTTCTCCCCCTTCTTCTTCTTCTTCTTCTTCCTCATCTTCCTTCTTCTTCTTCTCCCCCTTCTTTTTCTTCTTCTTCTTCCTCTTCTTCTCCCCCTTCTTCTTCTTCCTCTTCTTCTCCCCCTTCTTCTTCT